ACACCTTACCATAACTCACGTCTCTTACCATACCTCACTTTAACATAACTCACGTCATCTTGCCAAGTCTCGATGTAGTGCATCATGAACGTTTTCACCTAAATATACATTGATTCATGCAAACATTACCAACCACGCATTGACCTTCCTGGTATTGATATGTGTTATTGATTTACTTCTTCAGTAATCCACAAAGAGAATCAGTCAACTCATGGTTGACCTATCCATAACGAATGCCTTAGTGGCTTCTCGTCCTGACACTCGTACATATTTTTCTTCTTTTCTCATTTCAGACATCTGCTGTATCCTTGAAATCAACAACAGATAACGACCACGTGTTCACAAAGACATGCACTTACAAAGTATGTGTTACCAATTGCAAACCTTTGACTTTTCTTGGCACATGCGCCATAACCCAGTGGCGTTCCATACAGTGTACACATTTAGATGTTCTCTGAGTGTGTGTGTGAGTGCATGATCCGAAAGCGACTTGTATAATTTCTTCTCACAATCAAATGTATTATAATGGCATTTTCCCCACAAGCAATAGGCTGACGTTTCTATTTTTGGTTGCATTCTTGTTGAATATAACATTGGTTGTAAATGACATCAAAAAGAAACACTTCCAGCCTCACACGCCAGGAACAACAATTATAGTGCACTGTAATGAAAAGTAAATCATGAATAAGAACGGATTGCAATTGATTTTTTTTATATTTCCCGATCTACCAGTTCAAAGCTAATCGATGTTAGACACAATGAGACGTTTACCTCAGTGCGAGAGTAAAGTCTTATTAAAGTGTCGACGTATCGTGGTTTGTGGCTATTACTCTTAGTAATTTCTGAAACATTAATCTTTAAATAGTTTATAACACGTCACACATTGACAAAAACCCTTCGACTCAGATCAAGATTAATGCAACAGAAAATTACAAACTATTTCTATAACATCTATGGTCGTTAGGCATGTAGAGCAATTTTGCTCGAATTATTTACATTGATTCACATTAAAGAGCCATAGTAATCGCATCGCAACGTGTATTCAACGTGTGTAAACTATATATCATTTGATTTTATACCAAGTTTTGAACGCACGCTGCATGCATGTCGAACGAACACAAAATACTCTTAAATACAAAATAAATGTCAGTCTAGACTACAGTAATTGGGGAAAGCAATCAAACGAGTAATCGTGGATAAATTAGCGATGAAATAAAACATTTCCTGCTGACTCTTTTTCTCCTAACTGGTATGTCAGCAGAGTATTCAGCAAACAACGCGATAACGATATATTGTGAATCACTTTGCGATGCAGGGCAGTTCAAGTTTATTCTCAATGTGCGTGTTTATAGAGTAGCAATGCACAGACAGTTATCCTCTGCAAACATGCAGAAGGCTTAATCAAGTAAGATTGTCTTGCACAATGATTTTAAGGGGAATAGTCATATGAGGATTTAAAATTCGAAGATAAATATTTATTATTATACATCTATCACCGTAACGCCATAAGTTACAGCGTGCTGTAATTTTGCGGTACTGGACTGGGTATTTTCATCCTACCATATCAGATAATGCGAATTCTAAATATGGAAAGATTACGCGCGTAAGCGTCCTCTAATAATAAAAAGCAAACATGGCAGCCCCAGGGTTTGACCAGACCCCACACAAACAAGTTCGCTCAATCTGTTCTCAGTAAACTTTTTGTATTTCGGCATTTCCATGATGTATCCTTGGGAGGAAAAGTTGTATATTAATAAGGTTATTACGAGGATACCGAAAGGTATGCACTCAGACAGTACGCCGTCGCACCGTCTTTGATTATGTTCACTCAAGTGACCAACATGTTTCAGGGGGTGTAACTTGTAGCGAAGGAAGCACGGTAGAATAATTCCTAATTTGTATTATGCATGTTCGAATTGAGAAGAAACTAAAAAGTGAATCGCAATGCCACAAGGATTACAGTATCCCCAAATCGCGATACACTGACGACGCTCGATCACTTTATGAAGAAAATAGGCTACGGGCACTTAACAATGAATCAATCTGGGGGAAATGACAGAATATTACCTCGATCAACGTTATCACCTTCGAATTGCACTTTCATTACTGATTGTTATGAGCCTAATTCCATTCCTCTCTCCCCAGGGTAATGTTTACGCTATAAAGTTCTTCAGTCCAGGAAAGCGGATCGCACTAACACCGCCATTACTGTTGGAATTAAAACAGGTAAGTCAATCTGATCACCGGACTGACGAGCTAGGATACTGTAGCATAGATTAGTACAAAGTGCATTGTACGTGCATTATTACACACAGTTCCATTCAAGCATGAATTATGAAATTTTTTTTGGATATTATTGAATTTGTATGACCCTATGCCCCTATATAGAGCTCTTACGTAGAAATACGTACAATCGGGTCACGGAACTCAAACATTCTTGTTATGCATTGCAAGAGCGTTTTTATCAGATCTCGATTCACGCTGATACTTGTTTCTGCTAATCGCCTTGACAGCTTGTCGTGTCGTATAAATACAGCATCGAGCACTTTGGCCGCGAGGCGGTGTACCCATCTCGTGATGTGTTGTTTTCCATGCTGTATTATCTATCGCTTTGCTTCTGAAAATACGAACACAAGACACATTGCACCACTTGTTAAAGGGCGGTGGTCGTCGCGCAGCACGTGTTCAAAATCCATGTAAACAAACAATGTATTTTACACGCGTTGTATACGTCACTATGAGTTCCATATTGAACAGAACGCGACGCGACGATCACCGCCCTTTAAATAATTTCCATTCCCTGCAAACGTCAGGGCATGGCGTCCAGTCATAAGATAAATTTTAAAAATATAATAAATGAGTAATTACAGTAACTAACTGCCAAATCAAGTTCATGTTTTACTTGCGTTTTTGGAAACAAGTCACTGTAGTAAAGATATGAGAAGTTAAAAATATAAAAACATAAATTTGACTATAATCTATTCGTTATATTTGAAAGGTGTATATAACTCCCAGTATCTTATATTCCTCTAGGATTCACCAGGAGTCAGCTTTAAGTTGAACTCGTTTGACATTTATTTGATTACAGCATATCAAAATAGTTATTATATGCCTAACTTACTCAGTAACTTGAGTTTGACCTGCCACATTTTCTGAAACCTTAGAATATTACATTAAAAGTGTAGCACTCATGTATTAGATTATTAGCGATTATATGCATAACTAAGTTAAGTAATTCAAAGTTGCTATGTACATTTCATCCCTGATTTTGTTTCACGAGATAGCAATGTAAATTTGCGTTGATATTCGCATATTTAAATTGGAGCAGAAGACCACATATGTGTTGACTATTGCTGTTAATGCAACTATTCATTTTGCGAAATAATATAAAATATAAAACGTTTAAAGCGAGGGAGTCGTCACCTGCGCATGCGTCCGATGACTATAGCGTGTCATTATTTACAAACGAGTGTCTACCCATGAGCCTTTGCGTTTTTAGCGTGTGTTGTTTTCATCGCTTGAGACTCAATTCCCGCGCGTGCGCAGGTGACGACCCTCCCGCTTTAGCGGCACGGTGTTGGGTAAACACCATATTTTCACATTAATATTTTTATTTTAAACTACAATCAAATAATAGAATTAATGATCAATTTAGATAAAAGGATTGAACATTATCAGTGTTTTGATTATAGCACATTTTGCAATATGGCATGACGATTAAGTACATTGCAGATTAGGGTTGTCTTTATTATTCGATTGAAAAGCACACATTGCGTAATTGGCGCGGTTTCATTTTGTTCATATTTCACATGAAAAGTGTGCATGCTGTTCCGTGCATGTAGTACTTCAGGGTCGTATCAACAGGCCAAACATGTAGTAGACGAATGTCCCATTTTGTTCATATATAATGATTAAATATGTTATGTACATGTACGATATGATTTCAATACAGCAACTATTATGTGATATGACAAGTCACTTAGAAACTGGTTATATGACATGAATGCATGTCTGACTGGGCATCCCTATAACATGAATGGTCAAGGAAAGAAGGTTTGTGTGGAATGTCGTTGTATGGAACTCCAATCAAATGATTGCTTTCATGAATCGTTGAAATTGGAAAGGAACGTTCATTCAATTGAATTTCAATACTGTTAAACAATAGAGCGGGATAAAGAACAATCCATGAACAAATTATCGAATTCTCCTTACAAAAGCAAACATGACACAAGCGGTATTCTAAATACAATCAAAGTGCACGTGACATGAATATTTTGTGCTTATGTTAGCTCAGAGTGGCACGGTAGTCACATGCTTTGTACTCAAATAGATAAACCCATGTCACCAGTTATATGTCTCAAATGTGCTGACGTATGATTAAGATTCACTCTAACATGTATTACTATACATCTGTCACCGTAACGCCATAAGTTGCAGCGTGTCGTAATTTTGCGGTATTTTACGGGTTATTTTCATACTACCATATACGGAAATGCGAATTCCAAATATAGAATAATTACGCGCGTAAACGTCCTCGTAATAACTTCATAGTATACACACCCCTACAAAGTTTTAAAATTAGCTCAAAGTGTTCTTCGTGAAAGTTCTGTTTTATGAACTAACAGTAATAACACAAATAAGTTGAATAGGTGGATAAAACATATTTTCGACTAGAATGTATCTACTTGCTGTTTACTAAAAGAATGTATGTTCGAATGTATGCTATATATGACTAAATATATATATGTGTGTATATTAGTTAGAATACATGGAGCAAGAAGAAACATACACTACACTGGGTACGGGCACTGCATTGGGCTATAAGGAATGTTCTAGAGGGAAAACATAATTTGAGTAAAAGATTTATTCTACCAACACAGTTAATGTCATAGATATTGTATCCATACGTATTCACATGCACTGATGTAACGTGATTTAGCATTTAATGAGGCTTTTACTATATTAAGCCAACATAATCTGTAACAAAATTAATAATTAAGTAATTCTAATTAGATTAATTTTTTGTAAGGTCGATGTAATCGAATACATCCACATGGGTATAGTAAGATACCCATTCATAATTTCATTTCATTAATATCCAAACCATACTCTAATTCCATCTTAAAATATACTTCGAATGCTCTTTATACAGTGTATAATATTTATATGTATTTCAGAACCATAATGTGAACTATTCATCTTGAAAGAATTGTGCAAGTGAGAGAGTAAGAATTCATCCGAAATGTCAGCAATAAATGTGCCTATTTTAGTCCGATGTTTTCTCATTTAACTCACTTCATCATAGATTACCTTTATTTTTATTTGTCAATAGATGCGAGACCTGAGTCATGCAAATATTACCAGGTTTATTGGGGCTTGCTTCGATGACACTGAAAGAAGTTGCATGATTA